TTGTTAATTCATGAGAGACAGAGCGAGAGAGAAAGGCAGAGGGAGAAGCAGGCTCCCAAGGAGCAGGGAGCCCGATGCGGGACTCGATCCCGGGACCCTGAGATCATGACCTGAGCTGAAGGCAGACACTTAACGACTGAGCCACCCAGGCGCCCATCAACGCCTTCTGGTGTAGAAGAGAGACAGGTCCAGCTAAAAGGAACCACTTCCTAAATTGCTATGAACACCCCTACGCTTTCCTGCACCCCTCAGTGACGTGCAGAAGTGTTTGGCAGATTGCAAAGGACTACATACAGCTGGTGTGTGACTCCAATATCACCCCGGTAAGTTCCCAGCTTCTTCCTGAGAATAAGGGCCCCCGAGGGGCCCCCGAGAGCTTGGGGGGTCAGGAGAAGGACGGTACTCACTTGGATAGGACACAGCTTGGTGCATCAGATCCACGCTGGGACCACTCAGGGCCAAGGCGTTGACCGAGTAGTGGGGCCCCGGGTTCATATACGCCATCATGATCTTCGGGGACACCGCGGCCCAGGTCTGTGGGCCTGCAAGAGAGGAAGGGGCGCTCAGACACTCCCCAGGTACGGCGTGGTGCCCGGCAGCCCAGGTCCAAGTCCTGCTTCAGGCTCTTCTTAGGTGTGTGACCTTGGGCACCTATCTCTCTGTGCCTCAGTTTCCACGCCTATGAAATGGCCTTCTGCTTAAAGTGGGCAAAGCTTCCCCGAGACCCCGTCTGCAACAGCAGCTGACACTGTAATGCGAATCCTAGGCCCCAGAAAAGATGTCCAGCCTCGCACAGAATCACGGACAGCAGGGTGACCCGCTGTCCCGACCTGCTTGGGACGGGGCGGTTTCTAGAGATGCGGGCATTTCCCCCACAAACACGGGAAGAGTCCCGGACAAACTGGGATGGCAGAGTAGCATGCAAACGAGTGAAGGATGATCTTCCACGACCACGTGGGACCCATCAGGTGGGCAAAGATAAAAGAGGTCAACATCAAAAACTAATGATATAATGTATGGTGATTAACATAACAATAAAAATTTAAAAAAAATAAAAGATAAAAGAGGTCCGTTAGCCCCGGAGCCAGCCTGGGTGCGGAGAAGCAGGCGTTCCCGTGTCCGGTCGGGAGCGGCGAGGAGCGAGCATCATCCATGCATCAGAATAAACTGGAAGCACTGATCAAAGTGAAATGCCCTCTTTCCTCTCCCCACCCCCCTTCCCCGGGGCAATTTGCCTTCGGGGCGCCTCCGTCCCCTCGAGGGAAAATGGGAATGCAAACAGCATTTACATCTTTAGGTGGTTGGGCGGGTAAATGCAAGGTGCGTATCAGCAGCTCCTTAAACTAGCACCTGACACCACGGTCAGGGCCGCGCAGCGAGCAGCAGGGGGCGCCCCTCGCCGTTTGCAAGCGGATGTTCGCACAGGCTTTGCACGAGGATTTCCAATGCGCGCGCGTACAATCGACAAAATGTGGAAGCAGCCTCTATGTCCACCAAAGGGGAGGTGGTAAGTAAATTATGCAAGTAGATGATGTCACATGCATTCAAGGGAATTCCATCAAGTCACTAAAAAGTATAAGGCCGCCGCGAACTGATTTTTACAGCTCTCTAGTAAATAGATAAGAGAAATGATCCTACGCTTGGCAATAAGAGGAGACGGTGTGTCATTTCTAGATCATCCTGGGAGCCTGTTTAACAGAACCCCTCCCAGCCCAAGGGTTATTTCATTTTCTAAGGGACCGGATCTCTATTCGGGTTGCTATTTGCTATGGATCAGCCTCCGGACTCTGATAAGGTAAAGGGTAACTTGCAAGAAGTTTGGTGGCAAGTGATTTGTCTCTGCAGAAAGGATGACCTCAAGGTTACAGAGGATTTGCTGCCCTGTTGCCCAGTTTCCTTTCTGTTTTCTGCACGTTCCCTGAAGAACCGTATTAGCCCCTGTTCCTTGACTTTCCCCCTTTGAAACGGCTGGTTTCCTCATTTAATAACCTAAATAATATTTGATCAGGGCTTATTATGTATGTGTCTGAGAGTCAGGTTTTCCAATTTTGTTAAAATTAGGGACGCCTGGGTGGCTCAGTCGGTTAAGTCTCTGCCTTCAGCTCAGGTCATGATCTCGGGGTCCTGGGATCGAGCCCCACATCGGGCTCCCTGCTCGGCAGGAAGTCTGCTTCTCCCTCTCCCTCTGCCTGCCGCTCTCCCTGCTCATGCTCTCTCTGTCAAGTAAAATCTTTTTTTTTTAATTCTTTTTGTTAAAATTACACTTTTTTTGAAGATTTTATTTATTTATTTGACACAGAGAGACAGACAGACAGAGACAGAAAGCGGGAGAGAGAGAAATCCAGGTTAGCGTGTAGCGTGTATATATATATATGCACAGAAAATTTCCAGGAAGGACAGAGGATACCACTAGAAGTGAGGCCCTCTGGAGAGGTGTCCTATATCCAAGCCTTGTTTTTATAGTTTGGACTGCTCTGTCACCGTACGGATATATAAGCTTTTCAAAAACAAAAGCAACAATAAAATCTAAACAAAACAAAAAACCATGAGAGCCTTTCCGGGGCTCCCTATCGCCCCCACTTAGATGGCCTCGGGGAGCCTCCCAGCCTCTCTGGGTGTGTGCATAAGCCGTTCCCTGGGCCAGGAATGCCTCTTGTCCGGTCCCTGTCATAGCTAACCCCTTCTCTTCCTGCATGCTCCAGCTCAAGCGTAACTTCCCTGGGGAGCCATCCTATGCGCTAACCTGGATTTCTCTCTCTCCCTCTTTCTGTCTCTCTCTCTCTCTGTCTCTGTCTGTCTATCTGTCTCTCTCTCAAACACACACCACTATTTCAGAAATAAGTAAAAGTAGAAAACAGAAGACCTTTGCTTTAGCTCCTTCCCCCCTCCCGCTCCCACTAGCCTCTCCTTCTCATCCCTCACTTGGGGGATGGTGTTATATTTATCATAAACTGGGGTCCTACTGCCCCTCCAAGAAAAATGTTTGAGATTCCACCTTGCTGTAGGAGGTGGGGATGTAGCAAGAAATGAGGCACACAGCATCACTGCTCTCATGGGATTGAACCTCTGGGAAAATGAAATGGGATAACGGGATAGTGACGGGGTTTGGGGCGAGGGTAAGACAGCTCATCTAGACGGATGGTCAGGGAAGGTCTCTCTGTGAGGATGGGACCCTGGGGCCGAAAAGCGATGGGCTCAGTCACCGTGGGAAGATGCCTCCAGGCAGAGGGAACAGCAGCTGCAAAGCCCAGAGGCTGGGATCATTTTGTCTCGTTGGAGGAGGAAACCAGGTGCCCAATGTGACTGGAGCAGAGCGATCCAGGTGGAGAGCGAATCAGATGATGTAGGGCCTGGCCAGGAAGGTCATGGGGAAGCTCAGTGCTGGTGGTTACACTAAAAGCAAAAAGCCGCTTTAAATCCGAAGACCTGATGGGCGTTCTAGGAAGCCCCCAATAACCTTTCCCCTGGTAGTCACCCCCTTGTGTTCTCCCCTCCCATGGAGCAGGGCTGTCATAGGCCCCCCATTCGGCACTGCATAAATGACAGGGTGACCTCCAAGGCTGGCGCTGCTCTGGGGGGAGCCGGTTGGGATCGTGGGGGGGGGTGCGTCCAGGGGGCCAGGAACTGAGGTGTCCCGCCAACAGCCATGGGACCAAGCCCCCCGTGGAAGGTCAGTTCCAAAGCATCAGGCAACCCCTCCAAGGACTCAGCCCTGGTTGACACTGGACTACATACAACAGCGCGAGGAGACCTGAGCACGAATCATCCAGTGGAGCCACCCCGGATCCCTGTCCCTCAGACGCTGTATGAGACCATAAATGTTTGTTGTTTTAAGCAGCTAAGTTTTAGTGTGGCTCATTACATGGCTAGGGCTAACTCACCTGCAAGCCTTCTCTATGCAGGACGCCCTTATGTCAACAGAGCCTTGGGAGGCAGACTCGGCATTCCTGTTATGCTCCCATCTCACAGATGGGAATGTCTTCAGGCTCGGCACCATTACTTGCCCAGGGTCACACACAGACTGTGGGGACCCGGGATTCCAACCCTGGGTTGGAGGCCCCTGAAGGCTGTTCTCCCGGCACCCAGCCTGGGTTCCCTCTGTCCTCTCCCTCTTCTCCAAGGGAGCTTCTGGAAGGTGCGGAAACAGGGAGACGTGTGGCACTGCCCTGCTAGGGACCAGGTGCAGAGCCTGGGACGAGAGCATCCACGTTCATTGTCTTCCCCATCAACTCTGTGCCGGGTTTACCAGGCTAAGCGGTTGGCCTTCCAGGAGAGCCCAGCATTCTGCACTGGGGTGATCCACCCTACGGCCAGGGAATCTGAGCCTGGGGTGAGGAAGGTGCTCACCCAAGACCAAGCAGCTGGTCACGACAGTGACCTCCAGGATTGAGCGTTTGCCGGCTTCCCCAGACAACCCACAAGGGTTTTGTGGACAAGACGTCCGCAAAGAAGAATAAAAATAATGTCGGACAGCCAGTGAAAGTTTTCTCTGGCAACAAGATGAGACAGCTAGCGAGGTCACGGCCTCGGGACTTGCCTGCTCTACACAGGCGTTGGTGTCCCATCCCAAGAAGCACAGACAGCAAGAGTCACGATGTCTACCTTTTGTTGAGGATTTACAGTCAGCCTAACAGCAACTCTGTCATCATCCCGCGGGTGAAGTTCAAGGCAATGATGCTTCATTGTCCCAAAGGTGGGCTGAGGAAGACCACTCTCCCTGCCCTGGGGACCAACCCGTGGAAGCCGAGGCTGGCGCTTGGGGCTTCTGAGGTTCAGCAGCCTCTGCGTCCAGGCTCCCACCTGAGCAGGTGCTCTGACAGGGAAGGCCTGAAGGCTCGCACCCACCTTGTGCGTAGTCAAGGAGATGATCCCATTCTAGAGGTGGGGAAACCGAGCCTGAAGGGCACAGAGGAAGGTACCCCCCCTCAGTCAGGCAGCTGACAACCATAAGCACCTCCAGTCATGATCCCCCAACTGCGCCTCTAGAACAAGATCTCAGGGAACAATCATCCCGATAAAACTTCCTCCAAGGCAGGTTCTACTATGATCCTCGCTTCACAGAGGAGGAAACCAAGGCTCAGAGAGTAGAGTCCCCTGCTCTCGACCCCCAACTGTGCCCCCGATCCCCCCAAAGCAGGATGAAGCCAGCTCCCTCTCCTGGGCTTCCTGCAGGCCAGGCCTGTGACATGGGGTCCCAGTGGCTCTTCATGGCAACTTGTCATTGTCACCACTTTAGCAGACTAGGAAACTGAGGCTTAGGGAGGTCACGTGAATGGCCCAAGGCCACACAGTGAGTAAAAGGCAGGCTTTAAGCCCAGACTCCGGGGGCCCCACACCAGCCCTGGCAAGACTCCCCCAGATCAGCCACGTTCAAGGTCCTCCTTTGCCTTGTCTGCGCCGCCCCCATGAGCTCCACCATCCGGTGGGACAAGGAGCTGAACTATACATCCTCCTGACCCAGATGGGACTTGGGGAAGCAGGAGTCTCTAGAGTAGGGAGGCCCC